CCATTTAAAACTGAAGAGGGGATACACACAATATTTTATTTTACTTTATAAGCAGTGTATATCAGAAATTATTGCTGATTTCATTTTTGAAAGATGCAAACTCCAACATCACTTAATCCATTTGAGTTCTCATTAGCACAACTCATTCCAACAAATTAAGTGCTGCGGTCCCAAGATACCCTCTGGAGGGATAGATGAATCAGTTGAAAACAGCAGCACTTTTTTTCTCTGAGATACTGTGTAAGTCCAGGCTGAGGTTTCACTTTAAAGTGTGGTTTCCTACTTACTCCCCATAGGACAATGTATTCCCTATTATTAAAAGCAGCAAAAACAATATAACCCATCCCTTCTGTGTTTGCCCCATAAAGAACCAAAGCCTGAGTAGTAAAGCATAAATTATCCCAACTCCCTGAGAGGCTGGACTTTTTAGACTGTCAGCGTATCTCCTGGAACCCTGCAAGCAAGAAAGGCACATCATGGGGCTTCCACATTGCCTGTCCCCCTGGATTTGGTCGTGGCATTGGGAAAACCCCTGTGAAGTCATTAGTTATACAGCAGCAGGTATTATCATTTTCATGGCTTTCTTTAGAGAGGGTGGGCTAACCCTCCTGGTGGTCCAATGGCTAAAGACTCCATGCTCCCAATGCAGGGGGCCTGGGTTCGATCCCTGGTCAGGGAACTGTGGAGGGTAGGGTGAGCCCAAGAGGTCTCAAAACACATTTAGGAAGATTAATTTCCAGGAAGAGAAGTCGACTCTTTCCCTCTATATTCTTTCTGCCACCCTATACCTCGCTGAGGGGCTTCCCAGGGGCCTCGGTGATAAAGAATCTGTCCGCCAAAGCAAGAGATGTGAGAGACTGGAGTTTGATCCCTGGATCAGGAAGGTCCCCCTAGAGGAAGAAAATGGAAACCCACTCCAGTATTCTTGCTTGGAAATTTCCAAGGACAGAGGAGCCAGGCAGGCTATATAGGCCATGGGGTCGGCAAGAGTCGGCAATGACTAAGCCCACACAGCTCACTAAGTCTTTGAAACATGAACTAAACCTGACACTTCATGTAACCAACAAGCATTTGCTAGGTTCTTATACACCAGGCCTCAGTTGCATCTTAGGTCCTGAAGATGGCATACCACAGCACTAACGCACAATGACCTCTAGCATAAGGTATGTGATTCCTGGAGTTTATAAATCTAGATTCCACCCCCACCCCCATAAAATTGGCTCTTTCCCCAAGCTTGGATATCACCTAAGCAGTGAGAAGTGGGGTTTTCTTTTGTTGTTGTTGTTGTTTTTAAAGCCACAGAAAATACTCCCATTTCTAAAGAGGGCTAAAAGCAGCCACTTACTGTAGCCTGACCCTCGCATGCGAGACATGCAGGCAAGACCCCACTGTGTGCCGCTCCAGCCAATACTATTTGCCCATGATGCTCGCTCCGTGATCAGTCTTATCAAAGGAGATTACTTCCCCGCCATCTGCGATTTCACATTATTTGTATACATTTCTCAAACTTAATTAGTGTGGAAAATTATGCAAAGTGGTGGGAGTGATTACATAAGGAGGTTTAAGGAGTTTAGTAAGATTACAGAGACATAAAAATGCAAAGAACATGGGTATATGAATCCCATGGAGAGTTATCAGGTACCATTTTAATCTTTTAAATTCCTTCTTCATTATTTCTAGTTTAAGATAGTAGGATTTAATATCTGACTGTCACTAAATTTAATAATGAAAAAGCAACTTACTGACTAAAAACCTATGGAGTGGCCAACCAAAACTTCGCATACACACCTGAAATCTGTTATAAATTGAGACCTGCAATCTGTAAGCCCACAGCTATGAAATATACTTAACCTCTTCTATGGCGGTCATTATGTTCATCAGATTCTCCCCTACCTTCTAACCACTATGGACTGTATTTTTCCTTTAGGGTCTCAATGTTTTCCAAAGACAACCTGCCTTTATGAAGTAAAAACTGATGTCCAAAGACAAATTGCCTTTATTAAGTAATAACTGATTAGCATTATCTGTTATTGTTTCCTAATTTCAACACTGATTCCACCTTTAACCAATGATCTGGAATCATCCAAGGTTCATCATTATCTGTTAACTGATGGAGCAAAGATTACGTAAATAAGCAGAGACTGAAGCATCAGTCACAACTGAAGTCATTCTGCCACTGGCTGCTTGTTACTTCACATTCGTATCATGTGCGAACCATTTAGGCGGTGTGACCACCTCGTGAAAGCTTTGTCAATGTCTCCTCTACACTCACTCACAGAATTTTCTGTAAAGTACTAAGTTAGACTGGCATAAGCCAACCACCATTATTATTCTAAGCTGAAATTTCCCAGCCAAAAGCAAAGACAGACATGTTTTAGTCAACCGAGTTTAATGCCACTACGATTTTTCAATTCATGGATACAACCTCTTGGTAGCTTTGTGGGCCATTTTAGCCAAGTGGGAAAACAAAAATCACCGCAGCTCAGTTGGTTCACAGAAACTCAACCAACTCACTCAACCTAATAGCAAGAGAGCTTTGACCACCAGAATAAGACTACTACCATCCTGTGATTAATTTTCTTCTCTTAAAGATGAAGACCCTTTCAGATCTCAATTTCTCTGTTTCTAAATTCTCAAGTTAGGAGGAGTGAGTAAGCAGCAATATGCACTTCAATGACAACAATTTAAGCTATTAAATCCTTTAACTAGATGTCTGACTATTTCAAGATACAGAATAAAAATATACAATGGATTAGTGATTTTGCAATTATCCTGTTACTTCTTTTATATAACCCAACTGTATAATTTAAGACAAAGTTTCCGGCATTAATTACTGGCTTGAGCATCAAATTCACAGGAATATAGTTAAATTCCCATTTCATTTTGTCCTAGGAGGGAACCCGACTGCCAAGAATTACTCCAGCTCCCTTCAGCAAGAAACATGCTTAAAGAAAAAGTGTGGGGCTTTTTGAATAAGGGGAAACACTTAAGTTGTTTGGGGGCCTCCCCCCTTAAGAATACTTCACAAAAGTTTATCTGACAGCATTCAATGCTCACTATCTGGGAAACAAATTTCCAAGTGTTCTTGCACAGAACACAAACAGTTCTACTTTTTTTTTTTGCTGTTTGTAATTATTGTTGATGATGTCTGAATGATGTTATAAAAAATTATTTCCTCAGCGGTATTGTGACTGCACCTGTTTGCCAATTCAAATAATTTCTGGAAAAACATCCTATTTAAACAAGAGGAGTCAGAGAAATCTCTACTATTTGAACAAGCAAGGGAGTGTTTGTTTTATTAACAAAATGCAACAAGTATGCACAGTAAGAATCAGCTACCAGCAAGTGACATTGCAAAAGCATCCTCAGTGACAATATTCCAGATAGGAATAGTCTCTTGGTTTCATTACACATTATTTTTATACTTTAATACCAAAAATAAGGTTAGATGCAATATGAATGGATGTACTGGAGACTGGATGATAGTCATAAACTTAATAATAATTTTAGAGTAGTTACTGAAGTTGAAAGTCACTTGATCTACAGAGTTGAGAGGCAGAGGGACTGCAATGCAACCCAATGAAAGCAAAAGAGAACAGCGTGGTACTTACCTGAGAGCAGAATGGAAGGTTCCAAGAACTCCACAGGGAACTCCCTCCAAACTGACCTCAGGAATGGTGGCTCCGATCATGCCAGTTGTTTAGGGAATAGGACATGTTACTCAAACACGTCTCCAAAATGAGAGGCCTGTCTGGATCCCAAGCTTTCTTTTCCAGCTCTAGCATTCTGTGACTGAGTTACCTAGAGGGTTAGGCACCTGAAGGGTCTGGGTAATTAGCCTCCAAGTGTACAGAATCATCCCATAAGCATGCCCAAAGAGTTATTCCAAACAGTTGCTTGGTTTAGACTTGTTTTAGAGAAGCTGGGTAAATGGGGGTGAAGGGTAATCGGTAGACCGCAATTTACTCTGAAATACAGCCTTTCACAAGTCAATTCAGAAGTGCTCCAAATTTCTAAGAAATGCCTCACATTCTGAGGTTAATGCTTCAGAAAACAAATCTCTGTGCAACCAGGCATGCTTTGGGCAAATTACAGCCTCTCTGGGTCTTCATATCCTGCCCCAAGCTAAGGCAACTGGTGCCGGTTTCCAGCGAACCTTCTAGGTTCACCTTCTATTAAGAGGGTTTCTTAGTTTCTATTGAAAACATATACCCAATTAGGGCAATTTGAGTCATTACTTTTGTCCGCTACAAAATTAGACTCCTGGGGTCTTGTTTCAAAACTAAAGCTGGCATGCGTTTCACCTGAAACAAATGCCTTACCTCTTGGGGAATGGCGGGGGTGTGTAGTGCGTTGTTTTGAGTGGTCATGAACCAATCCTATTTTTCATCAATAGCCTGTTTCATTAAGGCCTGCCGGGACCAGTAATTACTAACCCACAGCCACTCTCCAAGCTGCACACTCTTCTGCCTTAGGATTTGACGTCCTAGTTGTACAGGAAAACTTGTCAGGTTAGCTTTGTTTGGGGGAACATTTCTATACCTTCTCCCTAGGGAAGACTTCCCTCTGGCTCAGATCCCACGCTCATTCAGAACCCGGGTAAAGCCCTGCTCTAGCAGAAACTAAGTGGACAGGAAAGCACCACCTTTGTTTTGAAATTAAAGTTGACAGGAGTTGCGTCCTGATCCGGCAGGGGCCGAGCTCGCCGGGTGCAGGAGTCGCACCGCCGGGCTGGTTTCGGCCCCATGGATGCCAAACTGACCGCTTCTACCAACCATGGGGGAGAAGGCGCGTCCGCGGCAACCCGATACCCAGCGGGCTAAAGAACTGTACCCCCCCACACACACACACACCCCAAAGAGTCCCTTGCCCTCCAAGAGTAACAAAAACACAGTGTCCTGCAGAAGGACAGCGGACAGGGGCCCCAGAGTTCCACCAGGAGAAAAGCCCAGGGAGGAAGAAGTGGAGGTTGGAAACGCCGGGTCCTGCAAGCAACTCACCTTCTGCTGTCTCCGGGCCATGTCGGTGGGCTGCTTGGCATTGAAGGGGTACGCGATGCACCTCACGACGAAAACATACAGCTGCAGACGGATCCTCCGCTCCTGCTCCTCGTCCAGCTGCCGTTCAGGTTCGTCTCGCCCCTCGCTCAGCATCGAGGGGCTCGGGCTCACGGGTCTGGCCGCGCCGCCACCCGCGCGCCCCGCCGCGTCCCGCCGCCCTTCCCGAGCCGGGGCCGGCGGCGCTCGCTGCGAGCCGCCGGCAGCCACCAGCACATCGCGGCTCTCCTCTTCCAGCCCCTCGTCCGACTCCTCTTCGCTGGAAGACGGGTCCAGCATGGTGCTCGGGGCGCCCCGCCGCGCGATCCGCGGCCCCCTAGGCGCCTCACTCTCGGCGGCTGCGCCCGCGGGTCTGCACGAGCTGAGCGACTGGCAGCTGCGACCGCAGAACGAAAGGGAAACTGACCGAGGCTTTCCGGACACGTCGAGTTGGACCCAGGAGTGTTTCCTACCACCAGGGCGAAAGGGGCGGGCGGGGGCCGCCGGGATTAAATAGGCGGAGTTAACGTCGGGAGTGAGCCCGAGCGCCTCGTGAACTGCTCAGCGGGCCGGGGCCCCGCCGCCTTCTTGGTTCTCCAACCTCCGCCGGCCGAGGCGCGGCCGCCCGAGCGCCCCGGCGCAGGTGGGGAACCTGTGGCGCCTACAACAAGCAACACGTGGAATGGAATGTTGAGGAGCGGGCGCGGGGCCGCGGAGTGCGCGTGCGCGCGCCGCCGCCGCGACCCGGGCAGAGTGCCTGGGTGGGTGCCAGGCGCGCGACTCGCAAAGATAGGAGGCGCTCAGCTTAGTGGTTCTGCGTGCGCCCACCTGGGATCTTTAGATGGCCGTGACCTCGCCATCACCACCTTTCTTTTCTTCCGCAAGCTTTCTGAGGCACAGGCGGACAGGGGGCCAGGAGAGCTGCCCCCTTTCACCTCCCCAGGTGAGGGGAAGGGCCAGAACGGGAGTCTCCGACCTGAAATTGATACCTAGGATTGAACCCCAGCGCGGAAAAGTGCGGCCGGAGCCGTTTACCTCCAAATAACGTTGGGAAGAGACTTTATAAAGTCTCTTGCCCTGCTGCTGTCCGACGCTGTGGTGAAATCCATATCTTAAAAGTCAGAGGAATGTTCTTGACAAGAAAAGCAAAAACAAAACGCGAGAGGCTTTCTTTTTAAACCGTCTTTATTCCTGTAGATGCATGAGCAAGATCGGTTTTGTATTTGCGAAATGGCAGTCTGATTCAGCTCTATAATAATCACATAGCTTGATTATTTTCTGGGTTGGGATGCATTTGACTCAAGACAGGTGTGCAGTGTAGACATTTATTTAGTAAATATTTGAGCGCACGCCGGGTGTCCAGTGCTGTTAGCGTTTGGAAGAGCCCGCAGCTCACTGAAGCACACGCTTGGTCACTGTTGGTTCCGGCCTCAAGTGGGCGTCTCGTTGCAGCACCCGAAGCCTGTCTTATCTGCGCAGATTTCTCAGTCCCGGTGTTAGAACCACCTAGGAATTTCTTTCTGTGATTTTTCCGGTGTTCTTAATCTGGACAAAGAAGGAAATAGGGAAAACAGTGCCTTCAACTCAAGGTGCAGTGTGCAGTGGCCAAATTGGCGGGGAAGCAATTGAAGCTCACTGCAGTTATCACCAGGCAGGTAAAACTTCCGGCTCTGAGCTTGTCTACCCCGTGGCCAAATAGGAGCTTTTGGTTTTTGCAGCCACTTCCACAGTTAGGTATCCATGAGGGAGCCTTTCCTTCAGCATTCACTCATAGTCTCCTTAGACGTAGAAAAACAAAAAGGCATTTACTTTGGGGGAAACGCCTATTTATCAATCCTTGATGATGCCCACCGTGATAAAAGGTGTTTCCTGAGGGTGTGACACCTCAGTTGCTCAGCTGGCCGAGCTCAAACTGCTAAGAAACACAAATCTCAAAAACTGATGTATTTAAAGACAGTGTTTCATTTTTGGCAGGGTAAATCATAAATAACAAGCTTATTTAAGTTATAGTGTCTAATGCTGTATACATTACATTTGGCAAAGTTTTGTACATGTACTTGGCGAATAACATCACCAAAGTAGCCTTTTGAGATAGGTGATGAGGATTATTAGTTACAGTGCTTTGTACCAGGTACTGCTCTAAGCCCTTTACAGACCTGATCACATTTATTTTTAGTTCCATTGTACAGATAAGGATCCTGAGACTTAGACAACCCTTTCATGCAGAACCAACAACTAATAAAACTAGGACACAACAGACTGAATCTTTTCTAATTCCAAATAGTAGCTTTTATTACAATTTGTCTAATTATAAATAAATATATTAAATGTATGATGTTTATTAAATGGATAACTTAAATAAGAACTTAATCCCTAGGCATACAAAAGTGTAATTTATAGAGAGCAGCTTTATTGCCCTTCCTTTTCTTGCCAAGGAAAGGTATTTTTTGTTTCCTTTATTAATTAGTTAAAATTGCTTGATGTGATAGCTTATTATTCTCTTCCTATTAAAAAATGGTTATTGAATTAAAGATTCCCCAAGCCTTGGAAATCCCACTGGAAAATACCTAGTAATTTGTAGAATAACATACAGTGTCTATAAAGATGAAAATGACTTAAAGGGCATAAATTAAAGAAATATTCAAAACAACAAAGAGACTGTTTAAGAATTTAACTAATGAAACTTATATTAGTTAAGAAATTAACATTGTTGAAACTATGCAGGGTATATTTAGAAGAACCAGAGATATATTGGTTAAGAAATTAACATTGTTGAAACTATGCAGGGTATATTTAGAAGAACCAGAGATAGTCTCTGACCTTTAGAAAATTACAGGTTAGGGAATGACAGAGGAGAAAAACATTCATTGAAAAAAACAGAAAATAAATATTAGAACTGCAATCCAGTGATAGGTCTGATAACCTGGCAGATAATGGTAATACAGAGAAAAAATACCTTATTCAAGTTTGAGTAAGGGAAGACTTCCCATACGCTTGATAGGTGTTTTGAAGAATGATTTTTTTTTCCATTTATTTTTTAGTTGGAGGCTAATTACTTTACAACATTGCAGTGGTTTTTGTCATAGATTGAAATGACATACTCCTATTGGAGTGAGGGCACTATAGACCATGAAACCACATTTGCAAAGGTATGAAATTGTTTTCCACATCTGGAGAACTGCAAACAAATTAGCATGCCCCAAATAAAGGCTACATATTAAGACGGGAAATATGAGGCTAGAGAGCAGACAGAGGCAAATTCAGCCTTGAGCAGAAGGACGGTGGGCAGATGTCCATGCCCTTGTATGCCATGCTTTGGAATTTAAACTATGTCTTGAAGAAAATGGGAATACATGCAAAGTAAACAGTAAGGTACAACATGAGGTGATCTGTAACTCTTAAGAGCCAATCTGGAGCAATACAAGGGCAGGAAAACAAGATGCAGGATACCATTGAGATTAGTTACCAAAGAAATCTGGGACAGATACAATGAGGGCTTGAATTTAAGATGGAAATGAGCAAGGGAGGAAAGCTTAAGAGATGGACAAAGGAATTAATGAAACATGTATGAGATGCTGAGGAAGAGGGTCAAGGTTAGACTATGATTCCCAGGATATTCCCATCATTCCTATGATGACAAACAGAACAGATGAAATATGAACTTCTAGGGGACATGTAAGTATGGAGAAACATCAAGTCTTGAGGAGCTTATCAGAGTGCTCCTAGACCCATTTGGAAATGCAAACCTGTTACTCACACCTGGGCAAAGAAATCATCAGCATGTTGGTGGTAGTTGAAGTTGCAGGTATGGATGATGAGGTCTGGAAAATGCGTTCATGGTGAGAAGATGGCCAATGATGCATCTATGAGGAACCCTCCCTACCTCTCCTCCTAAATAGAGATGGTTTGAAGAAAAGGAATCTGAAAAGAAAACCTGATCTTTAAGGATAAACAGAGCCCTAATAATTTTTAATTAACATTTTCAATTCTGTGCTTACACGAGTGTTCTTGCCAAATTTCTACCTTTAATATTACTTTTTCAGGTAATTATAACATCAGTTGATGCTCTGGGATAATTGAATAAATGATGCCTAACTAACATAAGACTATGATTGCTTTATGCCATTTCATAAATACACAAAATACACTTTAGTCAATGATTCATTTTTATTTTTGTCAAAATGAGCATAAAAATAAATGGAAGTTATACTGCTTTTTAATGAAACACCTCTAATGCTAGGGTAACATGGATGTACAGTAATAAAATAGAATATCAAACACATTTTGGCAACAATATTTAAGGAAACAGGTGTGTGACCTGAATAGCTATAGGTGGTCTGTTTTCTAGTTGAGAATTGATTTGTGCATTTGACCTGAAAGAAAGGTATTAACTCTTTCAAGTCACAGATGAAATCATAATTTCACTGAACAGACATTTTGGGGGCACCCACTCTAGGCTATGCACTATTCTGAGTAGATAGAAACAGTAAAATTTAGTCCCTGAGGGGGTGCATGTGAAACAGACATGAACAAAATAAGAAGTTATGGTAATATATGCTCCTGTGGTAATAGAGAAAAAATTCACAAAATACTCCTTAAGTGTTTTGGAAGTCTATTATTTTTTGTAGTTATAGCTAAAATTATATTACAACAGACAGAGGAATCTTTTTCAGGTCAAATGGAAGGACCAGTTTCATAAATATGTATGAGAAAAATGTCAACTCACAAACCTAGCTAATAAAAAAGTATGCATTTGTAAAAGTAAGATAAAAACAACACATTTTTTGAAACTTTTAAGATGAGTATATCTTATGAGGCAGTAATCCTCCTGGCAACTTCATTGAAATCCCTCTACTTCCTTTGCTTTTCCTTTTTTTCACCTTTTTCAGCTTTTTCTTCCTCACCTTTCAAGTTAGAATTTGAATCCTAGCAAAGATTGTTCTGTGACCCCCCCACACACACTTTTTACAAATAAAGGGCAAAAATATATGCAGATGATCAGCACAAATCAGAAAAATTAGTAGTCTACACTGTTACACATGCCAGATACAGTTAAATTTTGTTGTGAAGATTAAATAAGATAATATATCCAAAGTACTAAAAGATTATCCAGTATAGAGTAAATGGGCTTCCCTGTGACTCAGACGGTAAAGAATTTGCCTGCAATGCTGGAGACCTGGGTTCGATCTCTGGGTTGAGAAGATCCCCTGGGGGAGGAAATGGCAACCCACTCCAGTATTCCTGCCTGGAGAATCCCCATGGACAGGGGAGCCTCGTAGGCTACAGCTTATGGGGTCACA